GGGCCTTAACCCATCTAAGGACTAATTCCCTTGCTTCCACCTCTCTTGCCAGATCAGGTATTGTCTCTGCTTGTAGTGCAACTAGTTCTATAGAGTCTACTTCTTGGATTATTGATTCCGGTGCAACTGACCACATGACACACATGTCCTCGTTATTTTCTTCTTATCATTTGATGTCTGGCCAAGATGAGATGAGAGTTGCTGATAGTTCTCTCTCCACCATCTCTAGGAAAGGAGGGGTTGACCTAAGCAAGGATCTCTCTCTTAAATTTGTTCTACATGTTCCCAATCTTACTTCCGACCTCTTATCTGTTTCGAAGCTTACCAAGAATTTAAACTGTAGCATAACTTTCTTTCCTACTCATTGTGTCTTTCAGGACAGACTAACAAAGAGAACGATTGGGAGCGGTCATGAGTGTGGAGGTCTCTACTATTTTGATACAGACATCAGTTCGGCATTGCAATCATTTGCTGCCAGTAGTCAGAATAATGAGGAGTCAATAGCTAGGTTGCACTTGTGGCATGCTAGGCTAGGTCATTTACCTTTTTCGTTGTTGCAAGGGTTGTTTCCTGAATTATTCAAGGGTATTTCAAGTCAAAGTTTAGTTTGTGAAGTGTGTCAATTGTCAAGACAATGTAGAACTCTTTATCCAATTTCTAGTAATGGAATTCAAACTCCTTTTGATTTGGTCCATTCTGATGTTTGGGGCCCTTCACCTCTTGTTTCTGTAGATGACTTTCGTTACTTTATCAGCTTTATTGATCACTGTTCACGATGCACATGGATCTACTTGTTAAAAGGACGTGATGAAGTGTCACGGATAACCATGGCATTTTGTAAAACGATTGAAACTCAACTCGACAAGAAGATTAAGCAATTCTGTTCAGACAATGCTGCTGAATATTTTGAAAGTTCCTTGAACCTGTTCATGGAGGATGTAGGCATGCTACACCAGTCATCTTGTGCTAGTACCCCTCAAYAGAATGGGGTTGCTGAGCGCAAAAATAGACACTTATTGGAGACAGCTCGAGCTTTACTATTTCAGCACAAGGTTCCCAARCACTATTGGTCTCAAGCAGTCCTTACCGCATCATATCTGATAAATCGGATGCCATCTAAGGTGTTGGGTATGAAAACTCCTTTCTCTGTCCTTTGCCTTAATCTTCCAGACTTTTCTCTTCCACCTAGAGTTTTTGGCTGTGTATGTTTTATTCATGTAAAGGATCCAAAGAAGACCAAGTTGGATCCTAGGACTACGAAAGGAATCTTTCTAGGGTACTCTCCTACACAGAAGGGTTACAAGTGTTATGATCCCGTTACCAAGAAGAAATACGTCACAAAGGATGTGATATTTTTTGAGTCTCAATCCTATTTTCATTCTTCCCAGAATCCTCTTTAGGGGGAGACTAGTGGGATGGAAGAGGATTCTGCTTCTCCCTCTTTTTTTGTGCCTCTTTCAGCCTCGGGCCTTCCATGTTCTCCTCCTGATCCTCCTAGTTGTAGCATCCCAGGTGAATCTAGTGAGGCTCCCATTGAACCTGTTACCACTCTTGATGCTGCGGATGTAACTGAGGACACTAGTAGGCAACAAAAAGATACGAGAATCACCTACAACAGAAGGAAAAAAGACCCTCCAACTCATGGCAGCAATCAATCGAACTCGGATCAATCTGTCTCAACAACTCCAGGTAATCTTATCACTCATACTTCTGATTTGGATCTCCCTATTGCTCTTCGTAAGCCTACCCGCTCTTGTACTATCTGACACCCCATTGCTGAATATGTTTCTTACTAACA